TGTGTCTGTATATATATATATATATATATATATATATATATATATATATATATATATATAAAATATTATATATATTATATATATATAATATATAGTATTTGGAAGTGCTGAAATATTATCGGCCTGACCCACATCAATAGTGAGTAAACATCAAAATTCCTTTTAATCCCCTTTTTAGCGGAGTCGAGAATTTTTTCAGCACTTGTCAGTAATATAATATATAATATATGGAAGATATGCTATACACATCTATATATCAGGCTGATAGTGGGTAATCAAATAGATAAAAAAAATCTTAAGTAACGCGTTTCGTTTCCAGACTGAACTTCTTCAGAATAATAATGGTTTCATTATTTACTCTATTTATATTCGGACTTATTTCTTTATCTATGTTGTAGTTATCAATTCGATATTATTTTTGTCTGAAGTTCTGAGATGAGGAGTTTCAGTATTTATTAATTCAGCTTTATATATATATATATATATATATATATATATATATATATATATCTGGATATTAAAGCCAACATCCAGAGGCGACAGTCTGTTTCATGCTAAACGCAATCGTCAGGCCATGGGTGTTGACTTCAATGCCCACTTTTATATTTACATACGTTCTATCCTTGGTATACGAGCAGTTTTACTCATGAATATAGTATACCTTAAAGCTTAATTTTATATTTTATCATATATATTTTATCATATATATATATATATATATATATATATATATATATATAAATTCATGAATCATTCATGCAATAAAACAAATAGAGAGGTTAATGATTTAAATGGCGAGAATACATCTTCGCAAACAATATGAAAAAGTTACACCAACTCAGAACCTGTATATGAATGATATGATCCCTGTTTATAAATTCCAGTTTCATAAGGTATTTTTAATTTTTTACAATCTTTCGTCTGTTCCTTCAGACATCCTCAGGTAGGAAAATAGATTTGTTCTTGTTTTTACTTCTCGGTAATACACACACACACACACACACACACACACACACACACATATATATATATATATATATATTTGAGAAGTGAAAAATACAACAAATCCTAGCTATAATTGTACATCGAAAACTTTAAAGATACTGGAACACTATTGTATATTCGCTTATATATTTTATATACTAATATGATAAGCGTCCAAAATCATGAGATTATTTATTGTATGGATTAGTAGTTCTTCCTGATTATTCTTGGAGCTGACTAGAAACATGCTAAAACTGAACCTGGGTCCTTTAAACAGAGGTGTTTCTTCACTGGAAGAATTGTTCTTAATCCAAGGACCACTAAAAAGTTCACCAATCAAATGCAATCTATTTTTTTCTACCTTGGGTCAAATCAATATCTGATGCCGGATGTCAAAGATTGAACCCTGATTTTTCGGATCAAAGTGTGGTATCTGTGCACTAGGATCAGAGTGTTGGACCACGGACACCCGGCTGAAATTAATGTATAGTTTCCGTCTCTGTGCACTCCATAAAAAAAATGTTATACATTCACACGCACAAAGGTTGCTCCGAAAGTAATACTTTATTATTTTGGCCCATGACAACAGAGACGAATGGCAGTTGATGTTAAAACTTCCTACTAATAACCCATAATTTTTTTTAGGATGCAGCTTCTTCCAGTCGAAGGCTTGTGGCTTAATGCAAGGAAAATAACTCTTTGGCCAGATCGTTACCTACGAGATGAAATTGTCACAGTCGCTAAATTTTTATTCTGTTGCAACCTTTTGCTGTAGGTGAGTGAGGCGAGGTGAGTGGGTGAACGGTCGAAACAGCATGCCCTTCTTCTTGTGTGGCGAGTCAGTGGTCCTCTGTTTTTAGGGACCACTGTCTTATAGAGAAAGAGCGTTCTTTGGCCCGACAGAAAATCATTCATCAAGTCCACTCCACCTAGGTGATCTACTTTGTCAGGTTCATTTGACATAATTCTTGTGAGGTCCGCTTCACTCAACTAATCTTCTTTAAGGCGGTAACTGTCAAAACGATTTATGTAACATCCTACAGATGTCTCCGTAAAAAAAAGATATCAACTGGCAATTGTTATCGGTACAGACGCAGCAGATTTTTTTTTCATAATTTATCTATAATTTGCAATAATGAATCACTTTCTCTTAGAATGCACGCAGTCTAAATGAAGGTGTAAGAAGAAATTTAATGAATATTTAATAAAAGGTGTAATTGAAATAAAGATATCCAGGTTGGATTTTTCTACAAAAAAGTAAAAAAAAAATAAAATAATCATTTCGGCGAGACTAACTGAAACTCAATGTATAAGGTTGCCTGAAAGTCTTGTTAACCCTACCAAAAGGTTATAAGAACAATAGAACAAGTAATTCAGTAATACAAAGCACATGTACTGGATTCAGTTCACTCACTTTCATTGACGCTGTTACACATCAAGAAGGTCTCTATTAACACCATCATTTTCGTGTTAGCCATCTGAAATAGAAAATTTTATTTTGTAGAGTCACACGATTTTCAGACCACCCTGTACATTCATAGATGAAATTACAAAACATCATTATAGGTAATCAAATGTAAGGATGGTGAAAAGTGAGGGATCATTTTTGTATTGTTCTGTAGTATTAAACACATCCCTCAGCATGCGTCTTATATCTTGGCCACCTTTATATCTACCAACATACGTCTTATATCTTGATCAATTTTATATCTACAGATCATGTGTCCAATATCTTGGCTAATTTATATCTATCAGCATGCGTCTTATATCTTGGCCAACTTTATATCTACCAACATACGTCTTATATTTTATGTCTACAGATCATGTGTCCTATATCTTGGCAAACTATATCTACAAGCATATGTCTTGGCCAAATTAGCAGTTGAATCTTAATGGGGATAACTAGTTTCCATATTAATATTTAAGATCAAATTTTAAAATTTAACTCTTTTGTTATTTATTTCCAACTTGATCTTGACTTTTTTAAAATCCAATACTTCGATCTTTTGAACTATTTGAATTACGATAGTTTGGCTAATACCATTTTGTGACAAATGGGTCTCCTCTCGATTGGTTAGGACACCTACGTAGTCAAGTGGACTATAAATTATTTAATCTGGGTTTGGAATAACCGCAGTTTTATGACAACAGCTGTACAATCGAGATGCGAATGCTTCATGGCAACCACTGGTTATACACAAATAGTGAAAAGAAATATGTATGAATAAATAAAAAATTCTTTAGGTCAAGTGCCACTTGAAACTAGGGACTTTCTACCCAGTGAGAATCGAACTCGCTACTCAATCGTAATTGGGCTAGCGAGCCAAACTTGCTAACCATTACACCACCTCGAGGTGCCCAACTAGGGACTTTCTATCATGGGTCACATTCTACATAAAAGCACTCGGGGAGAGTCACTGTCAGAGTCATGAGCAGAGTGACGGATAAAGTAAAATGCACAGTCAGATGAGGGTGGGGTTCTCGCTGGCCAGAGGGAAGATTTGATCTGTTTGTTATGAGAGAAAGTAGAAGTAGCAGTGAAGATGTTCGAAGTGTTACTACTATTTCTTCGATGTGCCGTATCCCTTCAGAACGTTCGCGATCATGGCTCTCCACAATCTCCTGCCTTTGTAGCTCTTAATAAATTTTATCTTCTCCTAAACCTTGATCCATCATCCATTTGCTCAAGGTCACTAAGTAGGTTACGCGTTGTTTTCATTTGCCCCTCTTGCCTTCAATCTATCCTGTATTAGATTTTCCGAGCCTTCTTTCTCCATAATATACTTTAGAAATTCGACTGTCTCTTCCTGATATTAAGTATGTGTTCTAATTGTTTCTATTTTCTCTAATAATTCGTAGTTGTTCACGTGTTTAGTCCATGTCATTCTAAACATCTTTCTGTAGAAAGACATTTAGCAAAAGGGATAGCGAAAGATACCTTTCAAAAGCTGAGCAAAGCATTAAGAAACAGAAAAATATTGCCAGAAACAACGAAAAGACTACTTAACTGTTATGTAGTATCAGTCCTATATGACAGTGTATACTGACCAATCTCCCCATAGATGAAGAAGAGACTTGTAATAGAAGTTCCTTCGTCACCTGTAAGGAGATTGGACAGCATTTATTGTCATATAGGAGGGGTTTTTTTTAAGCGTATCACCCCAAGCAAGGCGGGAAGTCACTATCATGCAAGGGGTTACAGAGAATTGAAGCGAAAGCAAACAGGAGTGATAGATTAAAGGATGAAGAGAAGGATAGGGGATAGATCAGGGCATCTGGAGACGTCGATTGACATTACATTTGAATAGTTAGAGGTTATAGCTATCAGGGAAACAGGAAAAGGGAGAGAGTTCCACATGCGAGAGGTACGAGACATGAAGCTATTGGAGCAGAAGAGACGGCGACATAATGATACTACATAAAAGTTCAGTACTTTTTTCTTTGTTTCTAACGATATTTTTCTGTTTCTTAATACTCTGCTTAACTTTTGGAATGCATTCTAGGCTATCCCAATACGCCTTCGGATTTCAGTGTCGCCCTTTCCATCCGAGGCTAGAACACTTACCTACCCGCCAAAAATGTCAGTTATGTATCAAAGTTTTTTTAGGAACCAACAGATTTCTTGTATTTCTCATCAAGGTGATATCCCGAGATGGTCGTATTTGAGACTTTTCTCCTTGTGCGTAGTATCTCGACTTCAGTTTCTTTTTTGAACGTTTAGTGATTGATTGATTCGTTTTTTACGGTTTATCAACCCACTGCAGATTATTTAAACCAGCAAATATTCTTAAAATGCAAGAATCTCTTTTTTTTTCTTTTCTTTTTTTAAATATTAAGGGTTTTCGGGATACAAGTCTTACTAATTAAAACATAGATGAGGGAGAAGAGTTGGATTCTTACCTTCCCCGAGGCTATTTGTGTGTAAGTGAATATAACGAACTAAACGGGAATTAGAAATCGGCACTCCAATTAACAATTCTGAGCAATTACATATTATACCACCCGTACATCAAAGTTTACAGTACCTAGTGTTCTCAAGCGATCACCCATCTAGTTCTGACCAGGTTTGATGTTGCTTAACTTCAGTGATCGTAAGTGAACCGGTGTTTCAACATGATGTGACCGTGAGGCTTTTTTTTTAACATCCACTGGCCCTTTTCCCGGTTTTGTTCACACCGTTTTCTTCAAAACGGGAGTCGAACGACGTTGTGCGACAAAACGTGACCAGTTGATGAAAAAGTGTTTTAGGGACCCGGGTGTATGTTGATAATCTTTCAAACAAAGAAACGACCACGTAGCGTTGCTGAGAAACAGGGAAAAAAGTCTTGACTGGGGGATATTAATCTCTTATGTGATATCAGAAAACCTTTTTTTTTGCGTCTAAAAAGAACTGGAATTGGAATTACAAAAAAATAAAAACAAAATAAAAAAAAAAAAAGAAACATTCAAAACGTTGTGTAAAAACGACAAAAATCCGATAATCTCATGCATGACTTTGATGGCATTCCTTCGTTATCTCTAAGTTTTATTATCTTTAATTGCGCCAAACGTACCGAGAACGAAGTATGTGTCTGCTTTGCTTTGTATTCGCTTTACAATTATACTTTCCTTTCGTATTAACTATTCTTTCATATTTATTGCCTACTTTGTGTATGTAGATTGTTAGAAAAAAAGTCATGGAAGAAAAGTCATAAGATACGCTTTGTTTGGGTTGGAAAATAGTCATATTTTAATCTTGTGGAGAGACATAAATATAGAGAAGACTGTATTTTCATTTAGAATAGGTAATATCTATTATAAAAAATTTTTCATGAGACCTGAAATCGAACAAGAATAATACAGGCACGTTAAATACACTAGAACAAGTAATGTCATATTTATGCTCAGAATGATATCAGAATATTAGCATGAAGAAGGGTGGGTAGAGGGTGTGCCGCCTTGGGTATCCATTTCAGGAGGGCATCTGATTAAAGAGTGAAATAAAAATTTAGTTTATATTTAATTTGAATAAAGTGTTTATTTCATATTTCATCTGTTTTTTGCATATTAAAAATGTCTTCCTTTCTCATATTTCTCAGTACTAGGACCCTATACTTTTGTCTTATGAACATACAATCAAAGGTTGGCCCTTTATTAGCATACAATCAAAAGGGTTTGGCATCACCAAAAATCACCCAACCTCCGTACATCATTATATCAGACAGAGCAATATGAATGCAGATGAATATGTACACGAGTTTTATAGATTATACAAAAGAGTTTGATAAAGTACATCACAAAGAACTATTGAAACATTTAGGTAAGCTTGGCATACTTGGGAAGGATGTTAGAATAATCCAGAACCTATGCTGGCAGCAAATCGCCTGCATGTGGATAGAACTTGAATATAGTAAATATACGAAAATAGAAAGAGGTTTAAGACAAGGATGTGTGTTCTCACCGGACTTATTCAAACTATACAGTGAAGCGATTCTGAGTGAATTAGAAGTCCGATCAAAATTCCTTATTGGCGGTCCAAATTTTAACATATGATCTGTAGATGATGCAGTGTTGATAGAAGAAAGGACATCAATTGTAAGACTGAATGAATGGTTGTTAGCAAAAGGGACAGCCCAACAATATACAAATTACAAATTGGAGATACCAAAATCAAACAAATGCAACAATTTAAAGTCTTTGAACGGAGACTGAAAGTGCGAGCCCAAAATCCGAAGGCGCATTGAGATAGCGAAAGATACCTTCCAAAAACTAAGAAGAAAAAAAAATATCGTTAGAAACAAAGAAAAGAGTACTAAACTATATTATCAGTCCTCCTATATGGCGGGGAATGTTGGCCAAACTCACTACAAATGAAAAAGAGACTTGAAGCAACAGAAATGTGGTTCTATATGTGAGCAACGACGAAGTTCTAGAGACAATGGTAACAAAAAACATTTATACTAATATCGGCGGGGAGATAGTTGAAATTTCTCGGACCGCATAATGAGGAAAGAGAGCTTGGAAATTTTGATACTCACAGGAAAGGTTGAAGGCAAGAGAGACAGACAAAAACAACGGATAATCTACCTAGCGAGCTTGAATGAATGAATGGCGGATCAGGTTTTTGAAGAGGCGACAAAAAGACAAAATTTATTAATAGCTACAAAAGAAATTGTGAAGAGCCATGATCGACAATGTACTGAAGAGACACGGTATGTAGAAGCAGAAGAATATTTTCATAATATCTCTATCTATAAAAGGCAAGATGTCTGTCTGTGTGTGTGTGTGTGTGTGTGTGTGTGTGTAACGAATGCACGGCCGCAATTTTCGACGGATTTGCACCAAAATTTACATGCACATGCTCCAAGTAAGGCCAAGACCAACTTTGCATTTTCCAACTTCCATCGATAGTGGAAATCATCGATTTTTTCATGCTTCTACGGCAGTTTTCATGTAGTTTGCGGCCATTTTGTACTGGCCAGAGTGAGAGCCAATAGCTGACTGCCACGAATAGGCAGGAAGATTCTATTGACCAGCGTGAGAGCCAGCAGCTGACTGACACGAATGTTAACTAGCATCCTAGCATGCAAAAAAATCGATAGCTGCATTCGTGATAAGTGGGAAAAATTTAACCTGGCTCATTCGCTTGCTTAAACTCAACGTTGATTCTAATTCCGCAGAACTGGGTTGGGTGAGAAAAAAGTATTTGTTGTTAACATTCTTTTTTCGTTCGGTTTTTCCAGTTACGTGTCCTTTTTTAAAGCTGATCGTTTTGTGTTCATTTTGTTTAGTTCTTTTTTCGTAACAGATTTAATGTTAACATTATCGAGCTCAAAAATATTCGCAGTGTGAGATAGGCAAGAAGTAAGGCATGTAGCAACATCAGCACGGCAAAGAGCACTCCTTTAAAGGCAAGGAAGGGCAAGTGATAGCGATTGCTGTATGTGTCGTACGATTTTTGAATCAAGCACGGGCAACGCCGGGCCATGCTTCTAGTAAGTGATATTTTAATAAACTAGTTGTTGTGAGGGAGAATATTCCCCTACAAGTGTGGACTGGGCCGTCGGATGAAAGACATAAAATATTCCTACATCAAGAGGAGGAGCAGTAGCAGCAGTAGCAGCAGTATCTTTTACTGAAAACAGTTATTCGCAGCTAAACATTCACTTCCTTAGTTTCTATTCTACATTATGTTTCCTTGTATAAAAAGGTACTAAACTTGTTGTTAGACCAATTCCAATTTTCTACTGGTGTTTTGGATAAAACACTAGTTTATGGAAATATTACGGTAATTACTAACAAGTGAGTAAAACTTGTTGTGAGCAGTTAGTTTATTAAAAATGTTTTATTATTATAAATAAGTTCAATATGACTTTTAGTTCCTTAAGATATATTAGATACATTGAAATATTACTTATTTTAAAAGAAAGTATAAAATATTATTCCTTTATGTACCGTGTCCTTTCTGGACGTTGGTGATAATGGCTCTCAACAATTTCATGTCCTTTGTAGCTCTTAATAAATTTTGTCTTTTTGTTATTTCTCCTAAACCTTGTACCACTAGATAGGGAGGTTATGTATTATTTTCCTTTGTCCCTCTTGCCTTTACTATGTCCAGTGAGTATCAAATTTTCCAAGCCCTCTTTTCTTATTATGTGCTCTAGATATTTCAAGTGTCTCTTCCTGGTGTTAAGTATAAGTATCCTTTTTGTTGATATTTTCTCTAAAACGTTGTCCTCGCTCACAAGTTTGGTCCATGGTATTCTCAGCATCCTCCTGTAGAACAAATATTCTGTTGCTTCGTCTCTTCTTCATCTGTGAGAAGATTGTTCTGAATACAGTCATATAGGAGGATTGATATTACTTAACAATTCAGTGCTCCTTTCTTTGTTTCTAGCGATTTTTTTCTATTTCTTAATAATTTGCTTAACATTTGGAATGCACTTTTCGCTATCTCAATGTATCTTCGGATTTCAGTGTCGCACTTTTCGGCCTCTGTTAAAACACTATCCTGATATTTAAATTGTTGTACTTGCTTGATATTCGTATCTACAATTTGCAATTGGCTTTTTGATCTGTTCTTTTTGGTAACAACAATGCACTCAAGTTTCTTGTAATTGATATTTAGTCTTTTCTTCCCGCTTTCCTTTGCTGCCTTCTGTCGTAATTCTTGTAGTTTCCTTTCTCTATCTGCAATCAACACTGTGCTATTTGCATATCTTATACTCTTAAGATTGGGTCCGCGGATAATAAATCCTAATCGAACTTCTAATTCTCTCAGAATTACCTCACGTCTTTGTCTTATAGCCATTTCTATTTTTGTATATTTACTGAATTCATTTTCTATCCGTATGCAGGCGCTTTGCTGCCAGTATCAGTTCTGGGTTATTCTATCATTTCCAACAGTTCTTTGTGGTGTAATTTATCAAACGCTTTTGCATAATCTATAAAACAAACTGGTACACATTCTTTTGCATTTCTATTGCTCTTTCTGATATCATTCTGAGCATAAATATTACATTCCTTGTTCGAGTGCATTTAACGAAACTGCCCTGTTTTTATTCTATTTCCGTTCTATTCATGCTCTATTTATCAGAATTCGGATTATATTTTTTTATATGGATCATTAGGTGGATTGTCCGATCTATTTAAAATAGAAATATTACTAACAATTCTATCCTGTTCGCGAGCCAAAAGTATTCATTTTTATTTTTATAACATTTTTTCCGACCTTAACAAAGCCTACCTTATGACTTTTCTTCCACGACTTCTTTTTCACTGACATTCCGTTTCCTTTTTGTCTCCCAAACATAAGTTCCATTGATAGTGAGAATCTTAATAATTAGTCTTTCAATCCTTTCTTTACGGACTTAAAATACTGGATTATCAATTAAATGATACATGATAATTTAATATTGTTAGGGGTATAAAACGCAATAGTTTCAATTTAAATTAGGTTATCTTTGCAATACAAGCAACTGTAATGTATTTTTTAAAATCATTATGAAATGAATCCGTACCTTCCTGGCGTCAGTTTAAAATAGGCGTTTCTTTTTTTTTTCTATATATCTAAACTATCATAATAAACTATAATTTTGGAAAGTGAAATGTTTCACTGAAATATGTTGTAAATTTTCCAAGCTATCATCTGAAATTAAGAAAATACGAACTTTAATCAAAATTTATGGAAAAAAAAGAAAGTGTCAGTTTAAATTGTCTCCAAATGGATATAGTTTAACTTATTTTACAGGGTGTTAGTTATATTTAAACCATGTCTTAAAACTGACGACTTTTTAAAAAATATATATCCAAACTATAGTTTTGGAAAATGAAAATTTCACTAAAATAAGTAAGAAAATTTCCAAACTTTCACATAAAATCAAGAAAATACAAAGTTTAATAAAAAAAAAATTCACAACATATGAAAAATAAAAGAAGCATATAATCCAGATTCTATATTGTTCTCAAAACTTCAAAAATTAAACAAAACATTCGCACGTCTGACCTTAATTTGACTTGATCAAAGGTGCAGTTGCGCCAAAATTTTAAAACATTTTTCGGAGCCTATCACGTGACTTATATTGCAAACAATTAAGAAAAACAGGTGTTGGGAAAAATCAGCCGAAGCAGCTACAGACTACGTGACGACACTCATCATAAAATAACTTTCAACTGAAGTTTCAAAAAGAAAAAGTTAAAAATCCTTTTTAATATAACCACAGTCCATTTCCTTCATTCCATGCAAACTAAACTCATGACGGCAAACAACGAAAACCGACAGATATTCAAATGTCAAACACAACGTAAGTCATACTCAAGCACGTTTTTTTTTTTCACAAAATTTGAACTGTTTATTTTGAATACAAACAATATTACATTTCCAAATTCACACAAATTACCCTACTACTTCCAGTCTGTCAAACAAAACCTCACACAAAAATCTAAAAAGACAAGTTTATTTCACCATTTTAAACAACATTCATAACTATTATACATTTGTTCCATAAAAATCTATTTATTTGTACAATTTCACTTGTCTAAAGTTTCTTGTTTCTTCATAGATTATCTTTTGGCATTTGTCTAATATAAATTAATGAGGGCAATTGACCACCACAGAAGGCTTCGGTTTAAACTAACACCAGGAGTATATAGATCGAAGTATAAATAAAACTACTTTCATTTTTTTCGTTTTGTTTTGTTTTATTCTTCATTGTCATTGCTTATTAAACAAAGGATGTTTTCATTGAGCGTTTTATTTCATTTCAAAATATCACATCTATTCAAACGTAAATATGACCCGCGTTGTGACTGGCAGCATGGTATGGTTTAATAACTCCATAAACTTTAACAAATTAAATGACATATATGTCATTGTCAAGACTTAATTCGTTTGGTTTGTTTTGTTTTACGGCATATCAATCTCAATGGGTTATTTAATGCCGACAACTTTTTTTCCTGGTAACATTTTGTTTTGTCAAACATCTATAGCTGGTAATATTATTTTAAAAAATGTATTGCTGCTAATATTTTTGTTTCAAAAATATATTGCTGGTAATAGTTTTTTTTTCCTTCAAAAATTTATCTCTGGTAATAATTTTTTACAAAGAATTTCTGGTATTAAAACCTATTTTTTCACTTTCTTAATGCTTTTTACCTCAGTTTTGGGGTTAACTACTTGCCCATAGCTGGGACCCTAACAGGTGCTACCACCCCGGGTCAGAGTGGACCTGGTAACACCAGCAATTAAGAGGTGGTTCCACACTCCTCAAAACCTCCTGATCAGAGGCCTTGCTGATGGGCGTAGTTAATCGTCTTACCCTGGACGCAGATGTAGTTTATCGTCATACCCAGGACGGTGTCAAGACTTAAAGAGAACAGAAAAAAAGTTTTTTAAAACCCATTGTTTTAATTTTACAGAAGCATTATATCTGATATACAACCTATGCTCTTGCACTTGTAAACAATTATTCTCTTCAAAATAGAATGAATTCAAACGGATTGATATGAAGCAGTAAAATGGTAGAAAGGCTATTATTAAAATTACAAGTCGTACGCTGGTGAAAATGAAAATGAACCTAACAATCTTAGAAAGAACGACAAATGTCACTTTGTTACTGAGGAACTTTAGATTATGGTTAATATTTGGAATATGGATCCAAGTTGCTTTCCTATCTCCATAGCTTCTCTCTACCTTTTCTGTAAATATTTCCATGATAATTGTTCTTATGGGTTTTCTACGTTAGTACCGTGGCTTCACGAATTTAAGCGTAGTACTAGATTGCCAGTTAGGTCTCGTCATTTTACTCTTGAAATAGATGCAACTGTAAGTTCTATACTAATAGTTTCTTCTCACGCACTTGTAATCTTCAAAAATTCAAATGCAACGTCAATCGTCTCTTAAAATGCTGTCATTTTAATGTTCTTTCTTTCTCTCTCTCTTTCTTTTCAACGTTTTCTTAGTTTCATTCCCTCTCAGTAAATTATTACGTCTTAGTGGTTTTATCGCCTTACTTGCGGATGATATGATTAAAAAAGAAGAAAAAGAGAATTTTTATGATATTTTAAATTTTTACTTGTGATTTCATAATGAGGCAAGACGGCCCGGAGAATTTAACACTTTTGGGTTATATTGAAATCAAAAGAGACGGTGGGAGACAGCGAGTATTATACTTGACGAGTTTGCGTAAACAAAAAGAGAAAAATAGCAAGAAAAGATAGGAATTTATGGTGAGCCATGATCTCCCACGTCCAGACTTGATATGAAACATAAAAAAAGAAGACTTGTGACTTTATGATTCACAGGCCTAAAAGAAAAATAAATCATCATCAGTCCCATGAAACCCCCACCTCCCACCCGGGTGTGGTCGTTGATTAATCATGCAGCTGAGCACCTAACCAGTTACCTCCACATATCTGGGTTGAAATCAAAAGTGGTATTCATTCATGCGTAGAGTGATTTGTGCAAGTGAACTTGGAGGAGCCCATCCCTCTCTAGCTCAAACTACTGCCGATGTTCTCCATCTTTAAGGTTCACCTTGGTCACGATCACGTAATCGTTGATTCCATTGGTGGACTCTTCCGTCATTGTTATTAACTGTAGTCTAGGAAGTCCTCTACCCTGCCATGTTTTTGTATGCATATTAAATTGACTTTAGAAGCATTGATAATAAAAATGAATTGTCTTCTTTGACCGAGTAGTCTATATTAGAATTTAATGTTTAGCTTTTGTTGAGGGGTTCTCCCCTTTTTACACAAATGGACTCACCCAGTGTATACTTATACTACTACCAGTGAAGACCCGAGAGAGCAAGACCTCCGAGTCTAGCTGTCGTGATACAGTCTTTGACTGTAAGCGACGACTGTCAAACTCTCTGCATTAGCAGAGAGGAACCCGGACGAAGCTTTGTCGAAGGGCAAGGTTTCGTTCGGGGAGGTAGACAGGGCCTGAATCCGTCAATGCGGTTCTAAAAAGGCTATATTTTTGGCCGAGCCTACGGGCTCGGAGTTACCCACACTAAACCGGCCTTGTGCCATATTCAATCCTTGTGGGTGGGTTGATAAATAGCGAGCAAGACCTCCGAGTCTAGCTGAGTCGTGATACAGTCTTTGACTGTAAGCGACGTCTGTCGAACTCTCTGAGTTAGCAGAGAGGAACCCGGGCGAAGCTTTGCCGAAGGACAAGGTTTTGTCCGGGGAGGTAGACAGGGCCTGAACCCGTCTAGGCGGGTTCAAAGGCTATATTTTTGGCCGAGCCTACGGGCTCGGAGTTACCCACATTAAACCGGCCTTGTGCCAGATTCAATCCTCGTGGGTGGATCGATAAATACCGAGCAAGACCGAAGAGTCGAGTCCAGTCCAGAGTGACAGAGTAAAAGGTTGTAGGTAACCGGAAGAGTGAGGGTGAGGTAACAGTGTTGTAGGAGTCACAGTGAGCGAGCACGTAGACTCAGTAAGAAGTCATACAGCGATACTTCAATACCAAAGACTGTATATATATTTTGCTACTAACCCGCATTACCAGTTTGTATTGTTACGTTAATACATTATTTTCATATATTCATTCCTGGCGTTTGTTATTTATTGGTACCGGATTCCAACCCGGAATCCACAACAGCTTTTAGAGTAGTATTGGTTACAAGCTACTGAAATTATTGAATTATTCTTATAAAAATTATTGATAATTTTATTTGTGTAATTAGTGAACTGTAGATGTTTCTTCAGAATAAAAAAAGACTAGTGTTTCCCAAAAGGACGTCAAGCAATTAAGACAATGGCTAATTTCGCTAGAAACAAATACAATAGTGCTGAACTACTTTGAAATATCAAAACATCAATCCTCCTATTTGATAGAGATTGCTGGACAATTTCCTCTCAAGTGGGGGAGACTTGAAGCAACAGAGATGCGATTCTAAAGAAGGATACTAAGAGTACCATGGACGGAGCATGTGAGCAACGAGGAAGTTTTCAGGAAAATGTAAACAAAAAGAAAACTTACACTTAGAATCAGAAAGAGACAGTTGAACATTTTGGAACAGATGGCAGGGAAAAAGAATTTAACACACCCAGGCGATATTGAAGCCAAGAAGCGCAAAGGAAAGCAGGGGAATTACCTTCCTTGACAAGCTTGTGCAAATGCATAGCAGAAAAGATAGTTGGAGAGATTTAAAACAAAACAACAAACAAAAACAACAAAAAAAATTGCTAAGAGCTACAAGCGAAACTTGAGGGTACACGGAATATAGAAGTGTTTCACATGAGAAACAATCCCTGTCAACAAATTTACAGGGCTTATTACCGTATCACGTTGAAACACCGGTTTTCGTACGATCAACGAAGTTAAGCAACGTCGAACCTGGTCAGCATGTAGACGGGTGACCGCTTGAGAAAACCAGGTGCTGTAACCTTGGATATGCAGTGGTGTAATGGATAACGGCTCGGAATTGTTAAATGGAGTGCTAAATTCCCATTTCAATCGGTTTTTTATATTCTTACGCGCGAATACCCTTCGGAAAAGTGTGAATCCACCTCTTCTTCCCCTAATATGTGTTAATTAGTATGACTTGTATTAATAAATCATGATTATCTAAAAAAAAAAAAAGGTCTTATAATACGAAAAAAATAGTTTCCGGTGTTAAATAACCTGAAAAAGGTTGATAAACCGTAAAAAAGTAAACAGTACCAGTTAAGAGTGAAATAGGATTTTTGTTATTTTATAAAGAGTATGTTAGATTCCGAGAAATCCTGATGCTTGTATCAAAATTGGTATACAGTAATTCCAATGAAAATATTAGGTTGGTGCAAAAATAATGACGTAATAATGGTCGTTTTTTGACGTATTTTTTAACGTCAAAGAACGACATTATTACGTCATTATTTTTGCACGAACCTAATAATTCACACATTTCTACTATTCTTTCTCGAATTAGACTTAAGGTATGAAATCGGTGCATTTTCCAGAACGTCAGGTTTTCAAAGTGATATTTTATAATTAACGGAAAATATGGAGAATATTTCACTCGTTTGACAGTTTGAAATAGAAACAATTAAATGTTTGCAAACGGGTTGAAATAAAATCATTTAATTAAAAGAAATCTAGAACTATGAATTCCTGTCCAGATTTAAAAGTAAACGGTAGAAAAATGGATTTGACTCCCGTTCACCAACTCCACAGCACACGGCTTTCAGATTTTTATTATTTCCTTTGATATCTGTGGTATATACATTTCCTTCTGTTTTTATATCATTTCAAGAAAAAATAACAGTATATAGATTCACTCATCGACCGATTCACACTCCTCTCCGGTCATTTGAACAGCGATAGAGGTTTATCACTTGTTCCAGTTTAGTATTGGATTTCCGGTTCTTTCTAAAGTACACTTCTAGACTTTTAACGTCTCTGCCTGAAATCTGAAATTTTATTCACTAATTATTTTTTTCTTCTCTCCCAATAGGAGTAGATAGGTTTGACTATCGCCCAGTTCGCACGTAAAGGTTTATCACTTGTTTCCTGTTTAGGATTGAGTTTCCGGTTCCTTTTAAATTCTACTAATATACTTCTAATGTCTCCACCTAAACTCTGAACTGTATACTATTTCCGGTTTTCCGGTCACTTCTAATTTCTACTTCAACTCTATAGTTCTAACATCTCCGCCTAAACTCTGAAATTTATGCTATTATTGGTTTTCCGGTTCCATCTAATTTTCCTTCAACTGTGTTTCTAAAGTCTCTGCCTAAACTCTGAATAATTCACTAATTATGCTTCTTCTTCTCTCCCAATGGGAGAAGATAGGTTTGCCTATCGCTCGAGTCATTTAACATAAATAAAGCTTTATCCCTTGTTTCCTGTTTCTTCTAAATTCAAGTTCTATACTTCTAATGTCTCCACCTAAACTCTGAAATGTATACTATTATTGGGTTTCCGGTCCCTTCTAAATTATACTTCACCTCGGTACTTCTAACGTCTCCGCCTAAACTCTGAAATGTATACTATTATTGGGTTTCCGGTTTTTTCTGTCTCTTTCATTTTCAGTAGTCTTTTATGTCGTAGTGGTGTTATCACCTTGCTTGTGGTAAATTGTTTAAAAAGAAAACAGAAACAAAGTTCTCACAGTAAGTTGCTACTTTTTTTTTCTCTCAAAACAAAACATAATAACTTTTCTTTGTTATATGCTTTGGTATTTATGTATATCTGTTCTTTTGAATTCACGAAACTCCCACTTTTCTTATTTCGATGCGTAATCTGTATTGTGAGAAAGCAATGTAATATTTACTTTCTATTTAATTCAACAATATGACAGAAGTGTATAAAGAAATGTAGGGAAAAAGTGGATTTTTATGAGGTCACTAAAAGACAACTGCGAGAAACATGCAAACATATTTTATTGACTGCGAAAAGAGAGACGAAAAGTCTATTGACGGTGTTTATGACCCTAGCAGAAAATCTACCATAATATTTTCTCAGATTATTTCATCAATTTTTTAGCATTAATTATAATGCCCGAAATTCGTAAGAAAGCCAGGGTAACATCACTGATGACCTATGCCGTTTCATTTTATAAATGTATTTCAAAATTTACTGATTTATCTAGACATGCGTTTACTTATTGGCTATCGATAGCCCGGCACCATCAAAACTTGCATAATGCCAGATGTGCTATTTTTTAAGTTTACCGAAAGGTAGCAATATTTTTCTCTCTTTCTTCATGTCATGTGACTGTCTATTTAGACTGCAAGCATTCCGACCATGAAAACTGAGTTCGAATCTCATCGTGGTCGATTTGTCAAGGAGGTGACTTCTTGATAATACCGGCCTAGAGTGGGGGAACGTTCCTAACGTGTGTCACCGTTGAGAAGTGTGTGATGGTCCAAATTATACACTCTAACTAAGATCCACCCAGTATATTTGCAGTATAAACCATATTCTGACTTATTTGAAGAAACATAAATGTGCCTGAGCCGGCGTCTGCAACAAGTATTAGCTAGGTGTACTTAGCTAGGCAGATGTACTTGGAAAGGAACAGGTACCTATTTATTTACACTATAGACGACCCAATGCTGTATAAATCTTACAAGCTTCGCACAGGCACCCCGTTTTTCAGAAGTTTTATTTTACTTGTCATGGACAACATATGGTGTTTGTGTTTCAAACAAAGTTAAACACTTCCTGAATTCATTCGGCCGTAGTCGGGATCCTCGAGCCAATGCAAACGATCCTTTCTTTAGCTGTATTGTATGTGCTACACCGGGGCAACGTACAGTTTTGATTTCAGAGTTACTTTCTCCTAGACCGGTTGCCACCCAAGGCTATAAAACTGTTCTGCTATTTACCCATAGCTGGGGGTGGGGAGAAGAGGAGGATTCCTAACTTTCCCAAGGGTATTAGCACGTAAGTGAATGTAATTCGAACTCTGTTCTCCGATTCCTCAATCTGAGCCGCTATCCATTGTTCCATCGTGCACTAATTGGAGCTATAATGAATATGCGCAAAAGACAAGTAAAAAAGCCTTACCAGTGTTTGAAAGTGCTAAAAAAAAATAGCTAATGCATTAGCAAGCGTCATCAAACAATATTAGCCTTTCCGTGTGTCAAACCAGGAAATATGCAATTGCGCCTGTGGAAATTAGTGCCGGATGACTGATGGATGAGAATTGGTGATAGCCAACCTGTATATATGAAAACCGTGATTCCCACTCTCTTCCACAAACTACTTTTACAGGTCCTTATTAGTCCTGGGTATGACGATAAACTAAACCCGACAGCAAGACCTCTGATCGGGAGATTGGAGGTTTTGCAAAGCGTAAAACCATCACTTAATTGCTGCTGTTTCCAGATCCATCGTGACCCGGTGTGGTAGCACCTGTTAGGGTCCCAGCTATGGTCAAAATAGTGAACATCCAAACAAAAACAACACTCATATAACAATACATATTTATAGTGAAATTACCAACAATGCCTTTTACTCTAGTTGAAATCATAAAATTATGTTCAAAATATTTAGATTTCGGCATTAAATAACCCACAGAGGTGTTGATATGCCGCTAAATAAAATCAGCTAATCAAAACATCCTGGTAACATAGCCTAAGTACACGTTACTTCTTAATAGCGGGCATTGTCAATTGATTCATTTCATTGGAAGTCAGCAGATATTATCAACTGATAGTTTTCACTTTTCCTAACGATACGGAAATCATTTATTCAGGATTCAAGTCGAAATAACTAATTGCCAATTCTATGATCCATAATATTACTATTTGTTAGGATTCATTAGGTTAGCCCATTTCTTGGAATATATGTGTGCAAATAAAGCGGGAAAACAATGTCTGCATACCTACTTCTCGAAGAAAAAAGATACAAAAATGGTGACAACTTGATGCAAAGTACAACTCCATTGTATTGTCGAATTCCCCGGGTATTGTTAAACCGTTCAGAAGATTAAATTTAGGAAGCTAACATTTTTTATCTCCTTTTCTATTTTTATAATCTAAACTATTTAAAATATTATTTTTATAGTTTTTGCATATAATTAAAGCGAAAATAAAGATAAAACTGCCCTTTTAAAAGGAATTATATGACGCAATATATCCCGCTATTTAAGAGTTAATATAAAATCTATTCTTGATAAGAAAACAATATCTTCTCGTTTCCAGTGTAACAGCCCAAATATACCACCAGCCCTGTATATACTCGGGGTTATTCTAATGATTTTCCAAGCGTAGCTTAGATGTGGCACAAGGCCTAAAGTATTGGGCACTCAATGAATATCGAACGCACTACTCAGTCGTAAATATTCTAGCGAGACAAGCTTGCTAACAATTACACCGCATCGAGTTGCCCTTACTCGGGGTTATTCTATGCTTGGCTGTTTTATACCTGGGGTATATGTTAAGCTATACCAGCTTATACTCTGGTTATAAAATGGGCGAGGGTAGAACATACCCCCCATAGGCCAGAATATACCATCTCTTTTTTGCATGTAATTCTACACATAATATTGTATCCACAGACAATAGTCAAGGTTACTATGATTCATGGAGTATCATGTACTCAGCGATATAAATTTATATTATGAACAAATTTTCATATTCTAGAGCAGACTGTTTATTTTTAATTAATTAATTAATTAATGTATTAATTAAACAAATTAAACAATATTAGTTCCATTTTAGAATCATTAAATGGGTTTAAGAAAGTAGAATTTTTTTGTGTTGTTGTTGTTCGCGTGAACTTTGAAACGGAGACAGACAAAACCCCAAAATGGTGGCGGTGGTAAAATTGGTACTCTAATTCGTACTGAGATGCTATAAAAATTTTATTTTATACTTTTAAAAATGTTACTCTTGAATAAATGTTTAATAGTCTAGTTTGTTTTTTAGTACACGTTTTTTTTTGTTTTGATTTTTT